GGGCACCACTGACCTGGCTGAAGTTCATGTAGATGTACTCTCTCGCCTTCTGGTGCAGCTCGGTGCAGCCGATCTGCTCAGCGAAGCTGGCGATGCCGATGGCGTTGCTGGGGTCCAGCTGCTCCACCAGGAAGTCGCAGCAGGCCTTGACCACGCTGTCGATCTGGTACATCACTGCGCCATTCATCACGTGGATGACGCACTTCTCCCCCACCGAGATGCTGGCCGTGTAGGAGAACTCGATCAGGCGCTCCATCACCTAGGGCGCAGACACGCACACAGGGGCGCCCCCTCTGTTAGAGCTCCCACATCTGCTAACCTGGCTGTCGCCATTAATCTGTGCAGTTAAACCTCAATTTTTTATAAAGCCTGGGCTTTTAATTGATTATAACTCATTTGCATAATTGATAATTGTTGACACTTTCTCAGATCTTTCAAGCAGGTGCAGTGGTTAGCATTGCTGGTACACAGTGCTCAGGCCCTGGGTTCAATTCCTGGGCTGCTGTCTGTGTGGAGTTTGCATGTTCTCCCCCTTGTTCATATGGGTTTTCTCACAGTCCAAAGACATAGCGGCAGGTTGATTGGCTACTGGGAAAATTAGGGCCAATTCTCACTTACATGCCTAGGGCCGGTATGCAAACGGAGGAAACGCACACGAACGCAGCGAGAACCTACAAACTCCACACAGACAATTCCAGACCTTGGTTATCAAGCACAGGGCTCCAGCACTGCGAGGCTGCAATGCTAACGACCGTGCCCCACAGTGCCCAACCAAGCAAATAAACCAAAGAAGTCCTGGTGCTGCGGGGGGGGGCATACATTCCAATCAACCCTGCTGCAGTACTTTAATGCCCCAATTTTATTGGTTATTCCATGGATACAGAATTCTGAATGGTGCGGATCAAGCCAAGCCCCAGTGGACTTCTTCGGGATCAGTTAAAGGCGGAACAGGTGACACAGGTTAAAATAAAGAGAAAGGAAATTTGAGACTTGGAACAGGAAGTGCTTAACATAAAGGACTGTGGGAGTCTGGAACAGGCTGTCCAGCCATGGAGGACGGGGGACGATACCCGGTGGGCTCACCTTGGGATGGATCCCCTCGATGGGCACGACCTCCATGCCGCACTCCTTGAGGCCGTTGGTGAACATGGCGCGGAAGACGGGCGAGGAGGAGGCCAGGACGACCTTGTGCGCCACGAACTCCACGGCCTCCAGGTCGTTGTACTTCACCCGCAGCGTGACGTCGCACAGCTGCCGCTCCAGCCGCAGCTCGTTCATGATGCGGAAGGCCTGCGCCGTGTGGCTGTCCAGCGTGTAGCTGAAGAAGCGGTGGCCATTGCGCGATGAGGGCGTGACCTCCACTTTGCACTCCGTAGCTGCCGAGTACATCACTGTGGCACCAGAACCATTGCCACAGGGGAGAAGGGATTAGGGGGTGGGGTCAAGGAGGGCGGGGCAGTGGGTGTTGTGGTGGGCGGGGCAGGAGGGGATGGGGAGGGGCTTACACTTGTATTATATATGTAGTTACGTGTCCTTGATACAAAGGGAAAAGAGGATTTAAGGCACGATACACCTGACACCCACTTTATACTGTCTGAAAAGCGCCCAGGGAGGTTTCAGTACAAATCTCTGCTACTAATTGGTATTCGCTGTACTGGATCGGATTAACAGCATAAACAAGTGGATGTGTTTTTAAGAGTATCTTCCCATATTTCTACAGTCTGTGCTACATAACTCTCACAGTCCTGCTGCTGTAACCAGAATTAATGTTCAGACATAATGTTTAACATTACCAGAGTTGTAAAGTCTTTGATCCTTTTTTTGCAAACCAGTTTTGTTGGCAAAACCACACAGTTTGGCGAGGATGGATTCGGCCCGGGCTGTATGGAATCAGGGAAAAATTCCGACTTCACCATTCAGGGGCCAGATGCTTTGTACTCTGTTGTGCTGGATCTCTGATTGTGAAACCATTTTTCCAACCCTGTGGGAATTATGTCATTTTGTTTAATTATTTATACCAGTTAGGAGAAGCTACCAGGAAAGGGGTCAGGCACTATTTGTCTCCCGAAGGAAAAATGCTGGAATGCCCAAGGGTGAGACTGCACCTCTAGAGCTTTCTGTCCTGCGACTGGCTAGCGGCAGTCTACTTGGCTTTGAGGCACAGGAGAAATCGAGAAAAACAGACTGGAAAGGAACCCATTTCCATTCTAAAAAGAAGGTGATTTCATTCCAGTCTGGATCACACAGGCAGCACCCTTTTGAATGGACTAGCTAGCTGTGCCTGCAGTCAACTGCAGGCCTCAGTGTATTTCATACACAGGTCCTGGACCCAAAAGCAGAAAACATGATGGAGGAAAAAGAGGAGAGCTCCAGAGCCAGGAAAGCAAAAGTCCTACAGAATAAAATCTACAGAAACAACCGCGGTCCACTTCTCTTCCTCTGGGGGCCCCGTCGTTTCCTCCTATCTGACACACGTACTTCTTTTTGAGCTCTTCTGAAGCGTTCTGCTCAGACTTGGAAAAACCTGAAATCAAAGTGCGTATATTTCTGGCCTAAGGACAGGGGTGTGAGCTGCAAACCGGCGAAGAGCTCTATGCCAGTTTAGAAAAGAGGCACGTTCCATGTCCCCGCCGCCCCACCGCCATCAGTCTGGTGGGCTGCTGGTCAGTTTGGGGGGCTGAATCCCAAGAGTTTAACTTCTGGCATGGCTTAAGCAAATCACAGGAACGATGATGGGCTTTCACGAGCGTTTCACTTTCATGGAGCTGGGAGAACTAAGCCTTCTGGGGAAAAAAAAGGTTCCATGGCATCAAAATTGGTTAATGTACTATCCTGTCAGCAATACAGAGCTTAGCCTTTCGTCATTTTCTTGCCCACTGCGGTGGAAGGGGCTGGAGTTGCTGGCTGTGTTCTCGCAGGCAGAGATATGGGGGGAAACAAAGTCCACCCTAGATGCAGGCGATTCCTAAAGGCATCACCACTGCGTAGCTCTCCCGCACAAGGACACGTTCTGGAAGTTAGCCGCTGCCCGTTTTCCCACTGCTTCTGCGGCGTGGTGCTTCTCCTTTCTTTCCTGTAGTTCCTAGTTCCTCTGACCTGTCAGTGCCCTTCTGCAGAATCCCTTCCAGCATGACGGCAAAGCGCCTGGCTTCTCTGACACCTACGGAGGAGAGAACATAGAAGACAAATCAGCTTTCAATCCACCAGCTTTTCAGATTGCACTGGGTCCCCAATTCACAGCTGCGTCTATACATTCCTAAACCCATTGGCATGAAGAATCAGTATCTTCACATCTGATGCACTGGGATCAGGCAGTGGCATGGAGTACTGATTTGTAATTAGAAGGCTGTAGGTTTCTATCTCAGGTGGATTTAATGCTGCTGTTGTACCTTTGTGCCAGGTACATCCCTCACCCTAGAAATGACCAGCATTGTGTATAAATGGACACAAATGTAAACTGCTTTGGACAGCAGCATAATCCCAATTGATAACAATGAACCGTTCCACCTGAAGAGTCACATGCAGAGCCGAGTGTCAAAAGCCCAGCTCCCCTAGAGACAAATAGCATTTTTAAAAGGGGGAAGCAGGCACAAACAATGTCAGTTCACTTCCTAGTTTTTCCACTTTGCTGCACAAATGCAGAGAGCTACTGCCTGCTCTGAAACCGACACGCCCCCCACAAATGTTTGT